TCATATAGCTGGGGGAGGGCACAAGACAAGTCATGGGGTACAGGGCTCGGGGTGTGGAGAGAAGGGGAGGACAATCACCATGAAAGGTGAAAGTTTAGGTTAGGGAACGGGGGTCATAATGGAAAATGGGTGGTCAGGACAGGGTACAGAGCCAGATTGAGGAATAGAGTCTTGAAGGTAGAGAAAAGAAAAGAAAGCTGAGGATTAAGGGATGAGGGTGAGTAGAGAGACCCAGGTGGGTATGAGAGAAGGTCTTGGGGGTCACCTGTCCCATGGATGTGGCTGTGAACTGGAAGCTCCCCAGCATCATACGCAACAAGGACAGGAACTGTTTGTCCTCATATTCAAATCGATCACCAAAAACGATGGAGCTGATGACATTGGAGACCGTGCGGCTCAGGAAGAAGGTGGGGTCAATGGCAGCTCCTGTAGTGGAACCAGGTCAACAGAGGCACAGGGATAAGGAAGCACAGAGGTAGAATGATGAAGAAAGAGGACAAAGATAGAGAGATTGAGAGGAGTAAAGAGGAAGCAGAGGAAAAAAGGAACAGAGATCCACACCGAGGTAAAGAGGCCAAGAGCCACATGGAGACAGTGTTTGAGAGGGGCCGAGATGAAGTGGAACAAGAGAAGTGGTGGTGTGTGTTTGTGGGTAGCGGTTCCATAGAGGATGGATAGGGATAGAGAAGGGAGGGAGGGAGAGAGAAAGAGAAAGAGAAAGAGATGGATAGGGAGAGACAGAGAGAGAGAGAGAGAGACAGAGACAGAGACAGAGAGAGAGAGAGAGAGAGAGAGAGAGAGAGAGAGTCTCAGTTTCTGGCTCTCACATCTTGCTCTAAAGGACAGTCATTGTCCCCATCTCCAAATCCCATAGAGTAAGAAGATTAGATGCTAGAGGTGCAGTTGTACCCTCCCTGCCTCCTCTCTCTCTCTCCCTCTCTCTGTCTCTCTCTCTCTCTCACACACATACACACACACACACACACACACACACCTCATATCTCCCCCCTTTAGACTCTAGGATTTCCCTGAGACCTGAAATGAAATTAAATTGAGCCCCAGACATCCCGGGGGAGATGTCTTGCTCAGGTGGTAAGCGGTAGAGCTGTGATCTACACCCAAATCTCATGATTCTAAGTTCAGTGCCCTTTTCATGACCCAAGACTGCCTACCCTTATCTAGCATGTCAGCTGGAAGGGACCTTCACAGCTAGTTAGTCCAACATCTTTTTTTTTTTTTTTTTTTTTTTTTTTTTTACAGATGGGAAAACTCTGACCAAAGTCACCTGCTCAGTGATTGAGAATGTAGAACAGCACAGCGATAGAGCATGGACCTGAAATCATTGCTGTTCACTCATTTGAGTCATGTTTGATGCTTCGTGGCAAAACTACTGGTTTGCCGTTTCCTTCTCCAGCTCATTTTACAGATGAGGAAAAGGAGGCAAACAGGGTTAAATGTCTTGCCTAGGGTCACATAATTAGTAAGTATCTGAGGTCAGACTTGAACTCATGAAGATGAGTCTTCCTGATATCAATTCCAATGCTCTATCCACTGCATCACCTAGCTGTCCTACTGAAGTCATGAAGACCTGAGCCCAAATCTGACCTCAGACACTGACTAGCTGTGCAACTGTGGGCAACTTACTTCACCTGTGCCTCAGTTTCCTCATCTTTAAATTGGGGGTAATAATAGCACCTACTTCCCTAGAATTCTTGTGAAAATCAAATGAGAAAATGTAAAGTACTTCAGAATCCTTAATGTGTTACATAAATTATTTCCTTTATTATTATTAAAAAAAGAAACCTCAACCCTTCTCCTTTTAGAAGGAAGGAAAAACTCAAAGTCAGGGTAAGGAAGAGACTTGTCCACGGTCACACAATGAGTGAAGGGCAAAGGTAAAACTCTAATCTGAGTCTCCTGGTTCAGGGAGAGGGTCAGTTTCTGAACCCAGACACCAAGAATCATAGAATCATTGATTTAGATGTGGAAGGGAAGCTAGAGGCCACCATACTCATTTTACAGAAAAAGAAACTGAGATCCAGAGAAGCGAGGTCACCAGCTCAAAATCACATAGCAAGTAAGTGGAGGAGCTTGAGTATGGTAGTCAGGAGTATTCACTACACTAGAATATAGAGATCAGTTAGTGTTATATGCAAGGGAGAAGTAAGTCACAGGGCACAGAGGAAGGTTCTTGGGGGTCAGAGATGACAACAGCCAATTTTTTGGGGGGGGAGACAATGTAGGTGATGGCAGCTCGGTGGCGCAATGGTTAGAGCACTGAACTTGGAATTAAGAAGACTCATCTTCATTAGTTCAAATTCGGCCTCATACACTTACTAGTTGTGTGACCCTGGGCAAGTCACTTAACCCTCAGTTTCCTCATCTGTAAGATGAGCTGGAGAAGGAAATGGCAACCCACTCCAGTATCTTTGCCAAGAAAACATCCAAAATAGCATGTTGAAAATTTGGATATGATTGAAATGATTGAAAAACAGCAGCAACAATATAGTTGATGCTGACCTGGCCCAAGGCTCTGGAATATTCCTAAGGCCCACTCACCTTTTGTGCCTCGGAGAGCCTCAATGAGGAAGCCAGCTTCTTCTTGGATGCGCTCTTCAATGCCTCTCTTGCCCATGCCAAAATCTCTAAGAGTGGTGATGGAGAATCGTCGGAGTTGCCGGGCCCTCTCTCCACTGCTGAAAGCCACACCTGGAGTTGGTAAGAAGGAGGGAAGGAGCTCAGGGAAGACTGGAGATCCTGCAGGATC